CCAGAAGGTGTTCACTCACTAAGGCACTAAGTGCCGCCTGTCCGTGGTGGAGCAAAGTGTGGTGTCTGCTTTGGATATGGGGAGTTTAGGCCCCAATCCTAGCTCACTCAACTCCATAGTTGTAGCTTCAAACCATTTCAAACTCAGATCTTTTGGTCTATGGAAAGATAATCCTACTGTCTCTTAGAATGATTACGGTGAAGATTAAGTGAGGATGCGTGTAAGGCCCGTCTTTCATAATGAGCTAACAGGCTCTGGCATTATTCATAGATGGATGGATGCTGAAGAAATACAGGAATTAAAAGGCACGAGGTATTCCCTCCAGTGTGATAACAACTGCACTTAGAAAACATGCGTTCTGAACTTATTCTTCAGGCCTAATAATAGAGAATGGTTAAAATTTATGGTCCTGCCTTTTTGACCCACTTTCACGTGTGTGTCTTACAGAAGTCACTGTCACAAAATATTGGAATTTATGCGAACGAGGGTGTGATAGTTGGAGCTGTGTGTCAACTTGGCTGGACCACAATTCAGAGCGGTTTAATCAGTTGTGATGTGGTTATTCCCATGATTGGATCACATGTATATGTTCTGAGCAGCCAATCCATTGAAAGGGAGTTTCCCTAGGAGTGTGGCCTGCTTCCAGTATATTTATGGACAACCTGGGAAAGAGACACTCTTCTGTGGATCGGGATTCTCTTGTGCTGCCTACAACTGTCTGGGAGTGAACAATCCACCATTTGGCCTGGAGATCTTGGATTCGTCATTCGTTGGAGTCAACAGCCAGTTTACTGCCTGCCAACCTTGAGCTCCCCAGCCCCTGCAGCTGTGTGAGTCGGGAAGAGCCTCCAGCTTGACGTTTGATCCAAGAACTTGGGACTTGCCAGTTTCTATAAGTGTGTGAGCTACTTTCCTAAGATAAATTTCTCTTTCTATATATAAGCTTTACTGGTTTTGTTTCTCTAGAGAACCCAGTCTAACATAGAGGGTGTTCATGGAAAACTCTGAAGACTACTTAAATTCCAATGAAAAGCTGTGGGTAAAATTCCCCGGGTGGCACAGATGGTCTGCACTCAGCTAGTAACCCAGAAGTCGCCTGTTTGAACCCGCCCACTGGTACTGCAGATGATCTGGGCCTGGAGAGGAGAGCACCTTCCATTAAGATGACAGCCAACCTGACTCCGTACCTTAGGGAGTCTCTCCAGAAGAACACATAAACAGACAAATGCCTCAAAAAGTGATCTCTGACCTCACTCAAGCTGTATCCTGCTGTGGTGGTTCTGTTTGTGCGTCAACCTGACTGGGCCTGGCTGAGTGGCTGTGCAGCTGGATGGAGTATTCCCCATGATGAGACTGGTCATCAACTCCATGATGGAATCTACTGGGAGCAGCTGAGTAAGCTGCCTTAGGGATGTGGTCTGCTTCTTGTGTATAAGGAGAACCGTTGGGGAATTGTCTCTAGTTTATGTACACTTGAGAACTGCATGTAGCCGTGTCATTGTTCAGCAGCCTGCCATGCTCTGCCGACCTCGGCATTTTCAATGGACTTGAATGAATGGCCTGCCATGCGGTGTGGTAACATCGGGACTGCCTTGTTACTTGTCAACCTTGGGCTTGTCAGTCCCAGCAGCCAGCAGCTGTCTGAGTGAAGAAGAGCCTCTAACTCCAGTGGGGAGCAGGAGGCAGAGCTGAAACCCAAGGTTGAGGGGCTTTCACCCAGCCCCTAGAGCCTGGCACTTTGAACTTGGACTTAATACCTCCAAATTGTAAGAGAATAAACTCTTGTTTGTTCAGCCATCCCATTCATGGTATATTCTTGTAGGAGCAGCACTAGGGAACCAGAACACCACCTATGAGAAAGTGTGTGGCCTTTAACACCTAGAGAAGCTCTGCCTTACCAACACAGAATGTCGCATGTAAAATATTGCAGGAAAAAAAATTGCATTGCATAGATTTACATACACTGCATTACACCTCAACACAAAGAAAAAAAAAAAATCTTCACAAATGACCAATAAGCACCATCACAATAAATGCAGAAAAGATTGACGTTTTCAGGGATTTCATTTTACTTGGCTCCACAATCAACAGCCATGGAAGCAACAGTCAAGAAATCAGACATATTGCACTGGGCAAATCTGCTGCTAGGGACCTCTTTAAAATACTATAGTAAAGATGTCACTTTGAAGACTAAGGTGCACCTACCCTAAGCCACAGTATTTTCAGTCCCCTCATATGCATATGAAAGCTGGACAATGAGTAAGGAAGGCCTAAAAAGAATTGATGCCTTTGAATTGCGGTTTTGGTGAGGAATAGTGAAAGTACCATGGACTGCCAGAAGAATGAACAAATCTCTCCTGGAAGAAGTGCAGCCAGAATGCTCCTTAGAGGCGAGACTTGTCTCACGTACTTTGGTCATGTGGTCAGACCACAGTCCCTGGAGAAGGGTATCATGCTTGGTAAAGTAAAGGGTCGGTGAATCAAGTAGACACACGCCCTGGAGAGAACAATCATGGGAGAAGGAAGGGCTGCTTATGCACAGGGAGATAGCTCAGGGTGCAGAAG